CTTTGGGATCAACACCCACAAGGCAGCGGGCCCTTACGGTATTCCAGGGCTCGTTCTCAGAGCATGTGCAGAACAGCTGGCAGGCATGTTCACTGTAGTTTTCAACCTCTCCTTGTCCCAGTCTGTAATCCCTACATGTTTTAAGAGGACCACAATCATTCCTGTTCCTAAGAACTCCAAGGCTTCATGCCACAATGACTACCGCCCTGTAGCGTTCACTTCTGTAATCATGAAGTGTTTTGAGAGGCTGGTTATGGCACACATTCACTCCACCATAGACCCACTCCAATTTGCATACCGCCCCAACAGATCCATAGATGACGCAATTTCTATTACTCTACACACTGCCCTCACCCACCTAGATAAGAGGAATACCTATGTGAGAATGCTGTTCATTAACTACAGCTCAGCGTTCAACACCATTGTCCCATCCAAGCTCGTCACCAAGCTTAGGACTATGGGTCTGAACACCTCCCTCTGCAACTGGATCCTGGACTTCCTGACGGGCCGACCCTAGGTGTTGACGGTAGGCAATATCACCTCCGCCACGCTGACCCTCAACACGGGGGGCCCCACAAGGGGTGTGTGCTTAGTCCCCTCCTGTACTCCCTGTTCACCCACGACTGCGTGGCCACGCACGACTCCAACACCATTATCAAGTTCGCTGACGACACAACGGTGGTGATCACCAGTGACGATGAGTCAACCTACAGGGAGGAGGTCAGTGACCTGGCAGTGTGGTGCCAGGACAACAACCTCTCCCTCAACGTCAGCAAGACCAAGGAGCTGATCGTGGACTACAGGAAAGTGGGGGGCGAGCACGCCCCCATCCACATCGACGGGGTGGCAGTGGAGCAGGTAGACAGCTTCAAGTTCCTCGGTCTCCAAATCACTAAAGACTTAAAATGGTCCAAACGCACAGTCGTGAAGAAGGTGCGGCAGTGCCCCTTCCCCCTCAGGAGGTTGAAAAAGTTTGGCATGGGCCCTCAAATCCTGAAAAGGTTCTACAACTGTACCATTGAGCGCATAAGTCACCCAAGTCATAGACTGTTCTCTCTGCTACCACACGGCAAGCAGTACCGAAGTCCCAAGTCTAGTACCAAACGGGTCCTTAACAGCTTCTACCCCCAATCCATAAGACTGCTGAACACTTAATAAAATGACCACCCGGACTATTTACATTGACCCCCCCCCTCCATTTGTTTTTACACTGCTGCTACCCGCTGTCTATTATCTATGTATAGTCACTTTACCCCTACCTACATGTACAAATTACCTCGACTAACCTGTACCCACGCACATTGACTCGGTCCCGGTACTCTTAATAATATAATAATATGCCATTTAGCAGACGCTTTTATCCAAAGCGACTTAGTCATATGTGTATACATTTTTACGTATGGGTGGTCCCGGGGATCGAACCCACTACCCTGGCGTTACAAGCGCCATGCTCTACCAATTGAGCTACAGAGGACCACCCATACTCCCTGGATATAGCCTCGTTATTGTTATTTTATTGTGTTACTTTTTATTATTTTTTACTTTAGTTTATTTGGTAAATATTTTCTGTTTCCATCACTGCTTGGCATGGCAATAGCACCGCCCTGGATCACATGGCGCTACAGAGGGTTGTGGGGACAGCCCAGTACATCACTGGGGCTGAGCTCCCTGCCATCCAGGACCTCTATATCAGGACAGCCCAGTACATCACTGGGGCCCAGCTCCCTGCCATCCAGGACCTCTATATCAGGACAGCCCAGTACATCACTGGGGCTGAGCTCCCTGCCATCCAGGACCTCTATATCAGGACAGCCCAGTACATCACTGGGGCCCAGCTCCCTGCCATCCAGGACCTCTATATCAGGACAGCCCAGTACATCACTGGGGCCCAGCTCCCTGCCATCCAGGACCTCTATATCAGGACAGCCCAGTACATCACTGGGGCCCAGCTCCCTGCCATCCAGGACCTCTATATCAGGACAGCCCAGTACATCACTGGGGCCGAGCTCCCTGCCATCCAGGACCTCTATATCAGGCGGTGTGAAAAGAAGGCCTGGAAAATCAAAGACTCCAACCACCCAAGCCATAGACTATTCTCTCTGCTGGCGTACGGCAAGAGGTACCGGTGCATCAAGTCTGACACCAACAGGCTCTTGAACAGCTTCTATCTCCAAGCAATACGGCTGATAAATAGCTAACAAAATAGCTACACGGACTATCTGAGTTTACCTTGTATATTTATTTACCTTTTATTTCAATCTTTGCACTGTCTATATGCACACTCACAGGGCCCTACACATACACACTGTCACGTCAACATACACGCACACAAACACTCACTCACCGCATAATTTGCTCACTCGCACATACATTTATACTGACTCTACACACTCACATGCAAGCTGCTGCTACTCGGTTTATTTTATCCTGTTGCCTAGCCCCCTTACCCCTATACATATCTACCTCCATCTGACTTTTTAAAATATTTCCTGTATATAGTATGCTTACTTACTTAATTGTGTATTTCATATTTCCTGTTCTTATTTCTCGTGTTTTTTTCTAGTAATACATTGTTATTGATTATTGCATTGTTGGGTTTTGTGTTGGCAAGAAAGGTATTTCACTGTACTTGTGCATGTGACATTGACATTTGAATTGGAACGCCAACTGCAAGCCCAGCCCTAATCGCCCGAAACATCAGTGTCCGACCTCATTAATGCTCTTGTGGCTGAATGGATGCAAATCCCTGCAGCAATGTTCCAACATCTAGTGGAAAGCATTCCCAGAAAAGTGGAGGCTGTTATTTTTATTTATTTTATTTCACCTTTTATTTAACCAAGTAAGCCAGTTGAGAACAAGTTCTCATTTACAACTGCGACCTGGCCAAGATAAAGCAAAGCAGTGCGGTAAAAACAACAACAACACAGAGTTACATATGGAATAAACAAAACGTACAGTCAATAACACAATAGAAAATCTATATACAGTGTGTGCAAATGTAGCAAGTTATGGAGGTAAGGCAATAAATAGGCTATAGTGCAAAATAATTACAATTATAATTTAGTATTAACACTGGAGTAATAGATGTGCAGAAGATGATGTGCAAATAGAGATACTGGGGTGCAAATGAGCAAAATAAATAACAATATGGGGATGAGGTAGTTGGGTGGGCTAATTACAGATGGGCTGTGTACAGGTGCAGTGATCGGTAAGCTGCTCTGACAACTGATGAGTAAAGATAGTGAGGGAGATGAGTGTCTCCAGCTTCAGAGATTTTTGCAGTTCGTTCCAGTCATTTGCAGCAGAGAACTGGAAGGAATGGTGACCAAAGGAGGTGTTGGCTTTGGGGATGACCAGTGAAATATACCTGCTGGAACGCATACTACGGGTGGGTGTTGCTATGGTGACCAATGGGATTTGCCTAGAAGTGATTTATAGATGACCTGGAGCCAGTGGGTTTGGCGACGAATATGTAGTGAGGGCCAGCCACAATGGTGGGTAGGATATGGGGCTTTGGTGACAAAACGGATGGCACTGTGATAGACTACATCCAATTTGCTGAGTAGAGTGTTGGAAGCTATTTTGTAAATGACATCGCCGAAGTCAAGGATCGGTAGGATAGTCAGTTTTACGAGGGCATGTTTAGCAGCATGAGTGAAGGAGACTTTGTTGCGAAATAGAAAGCCGATTCTAGATCTAACTTTTGATTGGAGATGCTTAATGTGAGTCTGGAAGGAGAGTTTACAGTCTAACCAGACACCTAGGTATTTGTAGTTGTCCACATATTCTAAGTCAGACCCACCGAGAGTAGTGATTCTAGTCGGGCAGGCGGGTGCAAGCAGCGTTCGATTGAAGAGCATGCATTTAGTTTTACTAGCGTTTAAGAGCAGTTGGAGGCCACGGAAGGAGTGTTGTATGGCGTTGAAGCTCGTTTGGAGGTTTGTTAATACAGTGACAGTGTCCAATGAAGGGCCAGATGTATACAAAATGGTGTCGTCTGCGTAGAGGTGGATCTGAGAGTCACCAGCAGCAAGAGCGACATCATTGATATACACAGAGAATAGAGTCGGCCCGAGAATTGAACCCTTTGGCACCCCCATAGAGACTGCCATAGGTCCAGACAACAGGCCCTCTGATTTGACACATTGAACTCTATCTGAGAAGTAGTTGGTGAACCAGGCAAGGCAGTCATGTGAGAAACCAAGGCTATTTAGTCTGCCAATAAGAATGCGGTGATTGACAGAGTCAAAAGCCTTGGCCAGGTCAATGAAGACGGCTGCACAGTACTGTCTTTTATCGATCTGGGTTATTATATCATTTAGGACCTTGAGCGTGGCTGAGGTGCACCCATGACCAGCTCGGAAACCGGATTGCATAGCGGAGAAGGTACGGTGGGATTCGAAATGGTCGGTGATCTGTTTTGTTAACTTGGCTTTCAAATACTTTGGAAAGGCAGGGTAGGATGGATATATGTCTGTAACAGTTTGGTCTAGAGTGGCACCCCCTTTGAAGAGGGCGATGACCGCGGCAGCTTTCCAATCTCTGGGGATCTCAGACCATACGAAAGAGAGGTTGAACAGGCTGGTAATAGGGGTTGTGACAATTTCGGCGGCTAATTTTAGAAAGAAAGGGTCAATATTAATCCCCATGATTTTGGAATGAGATGTTCGACGAGTTGGTGTCCGCATACTTTTGGTAATGTAATGTATTTTAGCTATTTTCAGAGGGAATTATGGATGCAATACCTGGCACCACCCCGACGGTAACATAAAAGACTGGGTTCTGATGAATGAATGGTAGACTATTCATGTGGCTAGGACTTAATATAGCCCAGAGGGAGGGAGACCGATACAGATGTTTTTTTGCCAGTCAAATCTGATCTTCCTGATTCCTGCCAGTCCTCATGCAAATATGATTCTCTATTTTTACCCACTCACTCAGCCATGCAACACACTCACACACAGTCTATCTCTAGAGCCACCACATCTTCATGTGAAAGGATGGGCACCCTGAGGCCTCCAGAGGGTGTGTCCTGAGCACAATTGACCAATAGATGCTAGAGGGTGTGTCCTGGGTTTTAATGAACCAATAGAGCTGCTAGAGGGTGTGTCCTGGGTTTTAATGAACCAATAGAGATGCTAGAGCAAGGGTGTCAAACTCATTTTAGCTCAGGGGCCACATGGAGGAAAATCTATTCCCAAGTGGGCCGGACCGGAAAAATCATGGTATATATAACTTAAAAACAACAACTTCAGATTGTTTTCTTTGTTTTTAATACGATCAACATACAACATAAAGCTGGAGCCTGAGGACAGTGTGTCCAAAATAGTACAAGCACAACATCACTATTAATCATAAAACACATCAAGTTTATTTGAAAATTCTAAAGAAAAAGAACACACAAACACACAATGCCTCAGTGATTAACAGAACTGTTTCACAGATCACAGAACTATATCAGGGTGTCATTTCTCAGGCAGAAATGTAGATAAAAATAATGAAATCCTGTTCCCCAAACAAGTGCAAGAACCACAGAGTCAAGAATAGGTTAAATATACAAATAAAATAAAATCAATTAAAAACAATAGCACATCAACATAAAAACATATAAACATAAAGCTGGAGCCTGAGGACAGTGTCCAAAAGCACAACATCACTATTAATCATAAAACACCTCAAGTTATTTGAAAGTTCTGAGGACAAAGAACACACAAACACACAATGCCTCAGTGATTCACAGAAGTATATCACAGATCACAGAACTATATCAGGGTGTCATTTCTCAGGCAGAAATGTAGATAAAAATAATGAAATCCTGTTCCCCAAACAAGTGCAAGAACCACAGAGTCAAGAATAGGTTAAATATACAAATAAAATAAAATATATTAAAAACAATAGCACATCAACATAAAAACATATAAACATAAATCTTGAAAGCGTTGCTCAAACTCCCGTAACAGTCCCGTTATTTTATCTTTGAACCGCTTCATGTCTGCCACATGGGTCGCGCACACATTTTTCAGACAGGGGAAGTGAGCTGCATCACCACCGGCAAGTTGCGTCTCCCACAATGACAGCTTCAACTTGAAAGAACGTATGCTGTCATAATACTGCGTGACAACTTTGTTGCGCCCTTGCAGCTGTTTGTTCAAGTTATTCAGGTGCTCTGTAACATCCACCATAAATGCAAGGTCCTGCATCCATTCTGCGGAATGAAATTCTAACACTGGTTTGCCCTTTTCTTCCATGAACTGTTCAATTTCTTCTCGTAAATCAAAGAAACGCCTCAGCACAGCACCTCGGCTTAACCATCTTACCTCAGTGTGGTATGGCAGGCCATAGATGTGGTCTTTCTCTCTGAGAAGGCTGTCAAACTGACGGTGATTCAGGCTTCTGGATCGGATGAAATTAACAGTTTGGATGACCACCTTCATGACGTTATCCATCTTTAATGACTTGCAACACAAAGCCTCCTGGTGCAAAATACAGTGAAAAGTCAAAAAATCACGTCCTCCATATGCAGATTGCACTTTCTCTCTGAACTTTGTCACAACGCCTGCTTTTTTCCCGATCATTGAGGGCGCACCATCTGTAGCCAGGCTGACAGCGCGGGACCAGTCCACTCCGACCCTGTCCAGCGCGCCAACGAGTGCGGTAAAAATATCAGCTGCTGTCGTTGTATCTGTCATCGGCACCAACTCCACGAACTCCTCGGTGACGGTCAATGTGTCATCAACTCCGCGGATGAAAATTGCCAGTTGTGCAACATCTGTAATGTCCGTGCTTTCATCAATTGCAACCGAAAACGCAATAAATGACTTTACTTTTTGCTTCAACTGGCTGTCCAAATCCACTGAAAGATCGGAAATCCTGTCTGCAACTGTGTTTCTTGTCAGGCTGATATTTGCAAAATCCTGCCGCTTTTCAGGGCACACAATCTCCGCTGCCTTCATCATGCATGTTTTTACAAATTCACCCTCACTAAATGGTTTTGAAGCCACTGCGATTTCATTAGCAATGAGGTAGCTAGCTTTCACTGCAGCGTCACTGATGTCTCGGCTGTGAGTAAACACAGACTGCTGTTTCTTCAGACCCGCCAACAGTTCATTCACCTTCTCTCATCTCCGCTGTCCTTGAAAGTTGTCATATTTGTTGGCATGAAGACTCACATAGTGGCGACGAAGGTTATATTCTTTCAGCACTGCAACATGCTCTGAACACACCAAACATATAGCTTTCCCATTCAATTCCGTGAATAAATAGGATGACCATTTTTCTTTGAACACTCTGCACTCTGCGTCCACTTTTCTCTTTTTTGACAGAGACATATTGGGGCAATGGGGGTGCCAAAGCACATAATGTTAAAAGTAGAAGCCGTAATAAATATCGCGGGCAAAACAAAGTAGCTCATTGGCTGCACGTGCTTGACCTACTTGCTCTGCCCCGGTATAAACAGTTTGCTTGCTTAACACAATTGCTATTGCGCCATCCAGTGGACGCAATTGGAACAGCAGTTTATTTAATTGAAAAATTGCAGCCCATTTTTATACTTTACAAAATGTTTTTTTTTTTTCTTCTTTATTTTCTTTAAATCATCTCGCGGGCCGGATTAAACCCGTTTGCGGGCCGGACGTTGGACACCCCTGTGCTAGAGGGTGTGTCCTGGTGTTTGATAGATCAATTAGTTAGTGTTAGTAGTGTATATTCTGTATAATAATGTTGTATTGTGTTGTAGCGGTGCCCTACCCCCCTGGCTCCAAGCTGACGGTAAAGGACCTGTATGTAGACGGGAAGCCCAGTGTTGAGGTGCTCAAGACCCATCTCGTTAAGGAGGGCCGCCTGGAGGAGGAAGCAGCTCTACGCATCATCACTGATGGAGCCAACATCCTGCGGCAAGAGAAATGCATGCTGGAGGTGGAAGCACCTATAACAGGTAACCTCTGACCTGTTACTAATCCCTAACATCCTCCGACAGACGGACCTCTAACTCGTGTGTGTGTGTGTGTGTGTGTGTGTGTGTTGCGTTGCAGTGTGTGGGGATGTCCATGGCCAGTTCTTTGACCTGATGAAGCTGTTTGAGGTGGGCGGCTCCCCCAGCAGCACCCGCTACCTGTTCCTGGGGGACTACGTGGATCGAGGATACTTCAGCATCGAGGTCAGTGTGTGTTTCTGCATCTGCTGTTTCATCTGACATTTAGAGCCGTGGCCTGTTACCCGGGGCTTAGGAGCACGTCTTTAAATAGTCAGCAGCAACCCCCACACACACACACACAATATTGGGTTTTGTGTCCCACTTTTAAAATATTGTGCGAGGGTTCTGATTTAAGCCAGTGTATTCTAATGATATCATTACATATCCATTGGCCTTTATCCTAGATGTCGTGATCATAGCTAGTGTTAGCAACATGAGGGATCTCACACTCTCTCTCTGCAGTGTGTGTTGTTCCTGTGGACTCTGAAGATCAACCACCCCACCACTCTGTTCCTACTCAGAGGAAACCATGAGTGTCGACATCTTACAGAATACTTCACCTTTAAACAGGAGTGTGAGTGGTCCTTGTGTATTTAGTGTGTGGGTGTGTGTGGGTGCCTGTGTGTGTGTGGGGGGAGGGGGGGAGGGTGTGGGTGCTTGTGTGTGTGTGTGGGGGGACCTGTGGGGAGGGGGGGGGGGGCTGTGTGGGTGCCTGTGTGTGTGTGTGTGGGGGGGGGGGCCTGTGGGGAGGGGAGGGGAGGAGGAGGGGGGGGGGGGCTGTGTGTGTGTAATAGTAATAAAGATGTCCTCTTTGTTGTGTTCTAGGTAAGATAAAGTACTCTGAGCGTGTGTATGATGCGTGTATGGAAGCGTTTGACTGCCTTCCCCTGGCTGCACTCCTCAACCAGCAGTTCCTGTGTGTCCACGGAGGCCTGAGCCCCGAAATCACCTGCCTGGACGACATACGCAAGGTACGACCCCTGACCTGCTTTGGGTTAACTCTCTCGAACTCTGTCTTAAATCGTTTTAACTGGTTAAGCTGACTATGTTATTAAGTGTTTTGACTGGTCTAAGGAGCGCCTGGCGTTATTTAACTGTGTTTAACCGGATTAACCCTGTAGATTAACTGTTTTTTTACTTTGTGTTGACCAGCTGGACCGGTTTAAGGGGCCCCCAGTGTTATTTAACTATATTTAACTCTTTGTTGACCAGCTGGACCGGTTTAAGGAGCCCCCTGCATTCGGACCCATGTGTGACCTGCTGTGGTCGGACCCTGGAGAAGACTACGGCTCTGAGAAGTCCCAGGAACACTTTGCCCATAACTCCGTTAGAGGTTGCTCCTACTTCTACAGTTACCCAGCAGTATGTGACTTTCTGATGAACAATAATCTGTTGTCAGTAATAAGAGCACATGAAGCCCAGGACGCTGGGTGAGTATTATTAATGACATTAATTAATTAATGAATAATAATATTAGTAGTAGTAGTATGATACTGTTTTAAGAGCACATGAAGCCCAGAACGCTGGGTGAGTATTATTAATGATATTAATTAATAATAATATTAGTAGTAGTATGACACTGTTTTAGGAGCACATGAAGCCCAGGACGCTGGGTGAGTATTATTGATATTAATTAATAATAATAGTAGTAGTAGTAGTAGTAGTATGATACTGTTTTAGGAGCACATGAAGCCCAGGACGCTGGGTGAGTATTATTAATGATAATAATTAATTAATAATAATAATAATAGTAGTAGTAGTAGTATGATACTGTTTCGTGATATAAACTGTGTATTTCCTGTATAATGTGTATTTCAGGTATAGAATGTACAGGAAAAGCCAGACGACGGGTTTTCCTTCTCTGATCACGATCTTCTCTGCTCCGAATTACCTGGACGTGTACAACAACAAAGGTAAACAAACACAAAGGTTACCCACATTTCAAACCATGACAACAGGGTAGAAACCATGGCAACACAGGGTAGATAGATAATGTGTGTGTCCTTGTAGCGGCGGTGCTGAAGTATGAGAACAATGTGATGAACATCCGTCAGTTTAACTGCTCCCCCCACCCCTACTGGCTGCCCAACTTCATGGACGTCTTCACCTGGTCTCTGCCCTTCGTAGGCGAGAAGGGTGAGTGTGTGTGTTATACTGGTGTGTATGATAACTTTGGGCTTCATGTTACCTTTGCAAAACTGACCTCCATGTGAGATAATGTGAATGTGTGTGTGATAACTGTGTATGTGTGTGTGTGTGATAACTGTGTGTGTGTGATAATGTTGTGTGTGTGTTCCTACAGTGACAGAGATGCTGGTTAACGTGCTGAACATCTGCTCTGACGACGAGCTCATGTCTGAAGGAGACGACACCTGCGAGGGTAAGAAACACACACTCACACACAACTCTTTTATATTGACTTCCAATGTATGAAAATTATGATATAGCAGCAACGTGTTTCTTCAAAGAGGAAATTAAACCTTTAAGGAAGTGAAAGTTGTTTTTGACTGAAGTGCAGTGTAGCTCACAGAAAACAGAGCAAAAATAGATGTGAAGAGGTGATAGAGTTAACACCCGTAACGGATCCAACAACAGATACAGTGGGGGAAAAAAGTATTTAGTCAGCCACCAATTGTGCAAGTTCTCCCACTTAAAAAGATAAGAGAGGCCTGTAATTTTCATCATAGGTACACGTCAACTATGATAGACAAAATGAGAAAAAAAATTCCAGAAAATCACATTGTAGGATTTTTAATGAATTTATTTGCAAATTATGGTGGAGAATAAGTATTTGGTCAATAACAAAAGTTTCTCAATACTTTGTTATATACCCTTTGTTGGCAATGACACAGGTCAAATGTTTTCTGTAAGTCTTCACAAGGTTTTCACACACTGTTGCTGGTATTTTGGCCCATTCCTCCATGCAGATCTCCTCTAGAGCAGTGATGTTTTGGGGCTGTCGCTGGGCAACACAGACTTTCAACTCCCTCCAAAGATTTTCTATGGGGTTGAGATCTGGAGACTGGCTAGGCCACTCCAGGACCTTGAAATGCTTCTTACGAAGCCACTCCTTCGTTGCCTGGGCAGTGTGTTTGGGATCATTGTCATGCTGAAAGACCCAGCCACGTTTCATCTTCAATGCCCTTGCTGATGGAAGGAGGTTTTCACTCAAAATCTCACGATACATGGCCCCATTCATTCTTTCCTTTACACGGATCAGTCGTCCTGGTCCCTTTGCAGAAAAACAGCCCCAAAGCATGATGTTTCCACCCCCATGCTTCACAGTAGGTATGGTGTTCTTTGGATGCAACTCAGCATTCTTTGTCCTCCAAACACGACAAGTTGAGTTTTTACCAAAAAGTTCTATTTTGGTTTCATCTGACCATATGACATTCTCCCAATCCTCTTCTGGATCATCCAAATGCACTCTAGCAAACTTCAGACGGGCCTGGACATGTACTGGCTTAAGCAGGGGGACACGTCTGGCACTGCAGGATTTGAGTCCCTGGCGGCGTAGTGTGTTACTGATGGTAGGCTTTGTTACTTTGGTCCCAGCTCTCTGCAGGTCATTCACTAGGTCCCCCCGTGTGGTTCTGGGATTTTTGCTCACCGTTCTTGTGATCATTTTGACCCCACGGGGTGAGATCTTGCGTGGAGCCCCAGATCGAGGGAGATTATCAGTGGTCTTGTATGTCTTCCATTTCCTAATAATTGCTCCCACAGTCTTCCCAGCCTGGTGCAGGTCTACAATTTTGTTTCTGGTGTCCTTTGACAGCTCTTTGGTCTTGGCCATAGTGGAGTTTGGAGTGTGACTGTTTGAGGTTGTGGACAGGTGTCTTTTATACTGATAACAAGTTCAAACAGGTGCCATTAATACAGGTAACGAGTGGAGGACAGAGGAGCCTCTTAAAGAAGAAGTTACAGGTCTGTGAGAGCCAGAAATCTTGCTTGTTTGTAGGTGACCAAATACTTATTTTCCACCATAATTTGCAAATAAATTCATTAAAAATCCTACAATGTGATTTTCTGGATTTTGTCTGTCATAGTTGACGTGTACCTATGATGAAAATTACAGGCCCCTCATCTTTTTAAGTGGAAGAACTTGCACAATTGGTGGCTGACTAAATACTTTTTTCCCACACTCTATTTATCAACACCTCTATTGTTGCCACATGGCAGCTGAGTATCAGCTGAGCTGTGTGTGTGTGGGTGCATTCGACATTGCAGCAGACTTTAAAGTCGACTGACTGATCTAAAAATCACCTTTCATCATAAATAACTACTCAATATTATTTACTCGATTTGATTTGTAGATCAGTCAGTCACAATTTACCCATGATACATCACGGTTTTGGATGCTCTCGAACACGGCCGGTGTGTGTAATGTGTGCTGGTAGTTTAGGGTGAGTTTCACCAGTCCCTTACCTCTCTCTCCCCCTTCTTTCTCCCTCTCTCCTCCCTTCTCTCGCCCTTTCTCTCTCTATCCTTCCTTCCCTCTCTCACTTTCTCTCTATATATATATTTCTCTCTCTACCTTTCTCTCTCCCTCTCTCACTTTCTCTCTCTCCCTTTCTCTGTCTCTCAGCTGGAACTTCTGCTGTGAGGAAGGAGGTAATCAGGAATAAGATCCGAGCGATCGGGAAGATGGCCCGCGTCTTTTCTGTGCTCAGGTACATGTGTGTTTGACTCTCCCTGGTTTCATTGATTAGATGTTATCAACCTCTGTAAAGGTATTGATAAGAAGACCTGTATACAGATTCTATCTGGACTTGGTTATGTTCAGCTTCCAGTCCAGTCTTTGTACGGTGCCCCCCTTGTAACAACCATGCTTTTGACAGAGAGGAGAATGAGAGCGTGTTACAGCTGAAGGGGCTGACCCCCACCGGGGCCTTGCCTGTGGGAGTTCTGTCTGGAGGACGGCAGACCCTGGAGAGCGGTACGTATGCATACCTACACACACACACTCTAACCTGAACTACTCTGGCATCATGAGAGAATTGTTTTATCCTTTGCCTGCACTCAAACCCACCAACAGACTTAACCCTCCTCACACCCCCCTCTCTCGGGCTCCCTGACTCACACACCCACACTACTCTCTCGGGCTCCCTGACTCACACACCCACACTACTCTCTCTCTCTCACTCACTCACACACCCGCACTACTAAATCACCCTCTCTCTCTCTCTCACTCACACACCCGCACTACTAAATCACCCTCTCTCTCACCCGCACGACTAAATCACCCTCTCTCTCTCACTCACTCACACACCCGCACTACTAAATCACCCTCTCTCTCTCTCACACACACACTCACCTATCCCTAATCCACATTCTCATTTAACCTGCAAAATTCTCTTTAAAACTCAATCAATCTCTTAAACCCAGAACATTCCTGCACCCCTTTCTGCACTAATCACAGTCATGTGTAACTCCTGTGTCAGGGTTGAGAGGGAAGTGGGTTGGGGGTGGAGTTGAATGATCTTATGACTGACTGCATTGATAACAACTCACTGACTATAGATGATGTTTAACACTCTGAATACATTGATAACACAACTCACTGACTATAGATGATGTTTAACACTCTGAATACATTGATAACACAACTCACTGACTATAGATGATGTTTAACACTCTGAATACATTGATAACACAACTCACTGACTATAGATGATGTTTAACACTCTGAATGCATTGAGTACTCACTGATCTGGGTCTGTTGGTAATGTTAACTCTCTCTCTGTATGTTTTGGGCATGGCTCTACTACTCACGCTTACACAGCTACCGTACAGGCAGAAGAGGCACGAGGTACGCAAGTCATTTCTCATCTCTCTGTGTCTCTGTCTCTGTCTCCTCCCTCTCCAAAGTTAGTGTATTATTGTTGTTTATATACATATTACTAAGTTAAGAGGAGTTTTGTGGACATACCATGTTGCCCATTAGTCAGTATTGATCTCCAAAACCACTATGTAAACAGGGTTTCACATAAGCACATAGGAACATGCTAGCTGAAAAGTTAGCTTAACTAGCAACACAAAATATCAGGCTATTGACCTTAAAGTATCAGACTGTTTATGCCAGTTACCAAAAAGTCAGACTTCGTTCCACTCCCTCTCTCTCTCCTCCACCTGTTCTCAATCGCTTTCTCTCGTTTGTTTGCCCATGCTGCCTTGATGTTTTTGAAGTAAGTGTCTTACGTCTAACCACCAAAACCTTCTAACAACCAAACCTACATTGTATTAGACTAAACATTACCATATTATACTTATATTACCCCTACCAACCACTACCTAGTACCTACTAGACTGTAGACTAGAGCCTAAACCTTCCTCTTCACCCCCATACCTCCCTGAGGTGTGCTGTATTCCTGCACTGATGCTAAACTCTACATCTCTCTCCTTCAGCCATCCAAGGGTTCAACCCGCAGCATAAGATCCAGTCCTTTGAGGAGGCCCGAGGTCTAGACAGGGTCAATGAGCGGATGCCCCCCCGCCAAGACGCTCCTCCCCCTCCCAACAACCTCCCAGCCAGTGGCCCACCCGACAAGAACGGGACCAACACACAGGCCTAGGCACCTGGCTCACCTCCCTCTCTATCCCTCTCTCACTCTCTGTATCCCTCTCGCTCTCTGTATCCCTCCCTCGCTCTCTGTATCCCTCTCGCTCTCTGTATCTATCCCTCTCGCTCTCTGTATCCATCCCTCGCTCTCTCTCTGTATCCATCCCTCGCTCTCTCTCTGTATCCATCCTTCGCTCTCTCTCTGTATCCATCCCTCGCTCTCTCTCTGTATCCATCCCTCGCTCTCTCTCTGTATCTATCCCTCGCTCTCTCTCTGTATCCATCCCTCGCTCTCTCTCTGTATCCATCCCTCGCTCTCTCTCTGTATCTATCCCTCGCTCTCTCTCTGTATCCATCCCTCGCTCTCTCTCTGTATCCATCCCTCGCTCTCTCTCTGTATCCATCCCTCGCTCTCTCTCTGTATCCATCCCTCGCTGTCTCTGTATCCATCCCTCGCTCTCTCTCTGTATCCATCCCTCGCTCTCTCTCTGTATCCATTCCTCTCTCTCTGTATCCATTCCTCTCTCTCTGTATCCCTCCCTCTCTCTCTGTATCCCTCCCTCTCTCTCTGTATCCCTCCCTCTCTCTCTGTATCCCTCCCTCTCTCTCTGTATCCCTCCCTCTCTCTCTGTATCCCTCCCTCTCTCTCTGTATCTCTCTCTCTTTATCTCTCTCTCTGTATCCTCTCTCTCAGCGTTTTCCCCTCTTCTCCTGCTCTGCTCTTTTCTGCCTCTCTCCTCTTCTCCCTCTCTGCTCTCCTCTCTTGTGCCTCTTCTCCCTCTCTCTGCTCTCCTCTCTTGTGCCTCTTCTCCCTCTCTCTTCTCCCTCTCTCTCCTCTCCCCTCCTCCTCTGTGAAGGACAGTAGGATGGGTCTTTGTTACTTGTCCTCCAAAGAAACAGTCCTAACATCATGTTTATTTATTTCATCATCTAGAATGAATCTGTCATCGGAGTTTAACAGTGGATCTGAACAAATGACACATGATTAAATCTACAGTGTACATTTCTATAAATGATACATGACGATTGAATCTACAATGTACATTTTTGTTGACTGTCCCTAGGCTGGCGCATCACTGCCGTATTAAATAAAAGGCAAATCCATTTTGTAATTTTGAGTTGATATTTGGGATAATAGTCAGACCACCTTTTTATCTATTACCTGTTTGTGTGCTTGGCAAAGGAAGACCTACGCTGCAACTCATAAAGGTCTTTACTAAGATATAAAGTACCTAGGCTATGGTATCTAATATATAAAGTACCTAGGCTATGGTATCTAATATATAAAGTACCTAGGCTATGGTATCTAATATATAAAGTACCTAGGCTATGGTATCTAATATATAAAGTACCTAGGCTATGGTATCTAATATATAAAGTACCTAGGCTATGGTGCCTAAGATATATAGTATATAAAGTACCTTCGCTGTGTCTGTTTGTGTCCCACCCAAAAAGAGCAAACAAGAGCACTTGAATAAAAAAAGAGAAATCAGTTGGAACCACCATTACATTAAATCCATCCTTTCTAATGCCAACGATAGTGTGATGAGTATTGACATTTATATTATATGTACATTATAAATGTTCCCGTCTCTCAATGTGATTGACAGTTTGTTTTATTTTTACGAAAAATAGAATTAGGCTTCATACCTAGATCAGCGAGGGAAGAGGGGGTGAGGGTGGGGGGGGTGAGGGATGAGGGGGTGGGGGAGGGAGAGATGAGTTCTCTCTCTCTGAAGATGTTAGTCTGTTACCAGTGGAGAAGTAGAAGCTAGATGGTGAGTGTGTGAGGAAGAGGTATGAATGAAAGGTGTTTGAGTGTGTGTGTGTGAGGGGAGAATGGTGATAGTTGGATGATGACTAAGTGGAGGCTGTTTGGAGTGTGGGTGTTTGCATTGGTGGTGGTATTGAGGGTCAATAGAGAATGGGGTTGACGTGTCGTGGAAGTGTATGTGAGCGGGGATGGGGCCTCGTCTTGTTTCTGACTTCTGTTCCAGCTCCTCAACATATCTCACAGAATGTACAGAGATTGTGTAATCAAGGTTTTTCTTAATAGCTGAATTTCAAAACTTTTTTTTGTCAAGTATTTGTACGGCGAGGCCTCTGATTTATGTAGATGTAACCATTCAATAAAAAACTGAAAAGAAACACCTTTGTTATCTTATAGAATTTGTTGAATGCCAATGGACAGTGTTTTTTATACAGCTAGATTTTTTGTAGTATGCAAAATGTATTTAAAACATAAAATACAACACTTATTTTATTCATTTTCCAAATTCAGCATATACACTAGGGTTGGGAGGTAGGGGTTACGGTTCTGGGTTGGATGTGGGATTTGGAATGTTAATCATTTCTGCTGTTCTTGACGCCAGGCATGTCCTACTGGTCACAGAACGTTTTTCTGATTTGAGAAGAACCACAAAAAGAAAAGAACGCTCTTCTCTTTTGCAGGACTAAGAGAGAATCATTTTCAAATAAAAATAATAAACCTCTGTCAACCTCAGTCATGGTTCACACCAAGAAATACATTAACATTAATAAAAAGCTGTACTTAATACATGACAATATTTCTATAAAACATGAACCACGGTTGATCATAAATCATGTAAAAACATATCACAGTGATAATGTGAAGTTTGAACATACAGTGCATTCCTAAAGTATTCAGACTTTCTCCACATTTTGTTACGTTACAGCCTTATTCTAAAATTGATTAAATTGTTTTTCCCCCTAAATCTACACACAATACCCCATTATTATTATTATTATTATTATTATTATTATTTATAATGACAAAACAAAAACAGGTTTTTAGAAATGTTTTCAAATGTAATAAAAATAAAAACAGAAATACCTTATTTACATAAGTATTCAGACCCTTTGCTATGAGACTAGAAATTGAGCTTAGGTGCATCCTGTTTCCATTGATCATCCTTGAGATGTTTCTACAACTTGATTGGAGACCACCTGTGGTAAATTCAATTGATTGGACATGATTTGGAAAGGTACACTCCTGTGTATATATATATATATATAAGGTCCCAAAGTTGACAGTGCATGTCAGAGCAAAAACCAAGCCATGAGGTCGAAGGAATTGTCCGTAGAGCTCCGAGACAGGATTGTGTCGAGGCACAGATCTGGGGAAGGGTACCACAAAATGTCTGCAGCATTAAAGGTCCCCAAGAACACAGTGGCCTCCATCATTCTTAAATGGAAGAAGTTTGGCACCACAAAGACCAATCTGAGCAATCGGGGGAGAAGGGCCTTGGTCAGGGAGGTGACCAAGAACCCAATGGTCACTCTGACAGAGCTCCAGAGTTCCTCTGTGGAGATGGGAGAACCTTCCAGAAGGAAACCATCTCTGCAGCACTCCACCAATCAGGCCTTTACGGTAGAGTGACGGAAGCCACTCCTCAGTAAAAGGCACATGACAGCCCGCTTGGAGTTTGCCAAAAGGCACCTAAAGGACTCTCAGACCATGAGAAACAACATTCTCTGGTCTGATGAAACCCAGATTGAATTATTTGGTCTGAATGCCAAGCGTCATGTCTGGAGGAAACCAGGCACCGCTTATCACCTGGCCAATACCATCCCTACAGTGAAGCATGGTGGTGGCAGCATCATGCTGTGGGGATGTTTTTCAGCGGGAGATGGGAGACTAGTCAGGATCGTGGGAAAGATTAACAGAGCAAAGTACAGAGAGATCCTTGATGAAAACCTGCTCCAAAGCGCTCAGGATCTCAGACTGGGGCGAAGGTTCAGTCTGTAGTAAGACATGGCAGCTCTGCTTCTAGCTCCTAAGCAACTTTGCAGTATTTTGTTTTTTTGTGTGTTATTTCTTACATTATTAGCCCAGAACGTTTTTTGTGTTATTACATACAGCCGGAAATACGTTTTGGATATCAGAGCAGCGGTAACTCACCATTATTACGACCAGGAATACGACTTGGATCCTTTGTTCGTACCCCCCAGGGCAATTGAGCTTATCCCAGAGGCTGCTCCAAGTCACCGCCGGCAGAGAAGAGGTAATCGGAGTGGACTTCTAGTCCGACTAAGGAGGCGGGCACACCATCCACCACTTCAGAGTATATTACTCGCTAATGTTCAGTCTCTGGACAATAAAGTAGCCCTCAGGACCTCAGACTGGGGCGAAGGTTCACCTTCCAACAGGACAACGACCCTAAGCACACAGCCAAGACAACGCAGGAGTGGCTTCGGGACAAGTCTCTGAAGATCCTTGAGTGGCCCAGCCAGAGCCCGGACTTGAAACCGATCGAACATCTCTGGAGAGACCTGAAAATAGCTGTGCAGCGACACTCCCCATCCAACCTGACAGAGCTTGAGAGGATCTGCAGAGAAGAATGGGAGAAACTCCCCAAATACAGGTGTGCCAAGTTTGTAGCGTCATACCCAAGAAGACTCAAGGCTGTAATCACTGCCAAAGGTGCTTTAACAAAGCACTGAGTAAAGAGTCTGAATACTTACGTAAATGTGATATTTCCGTTTTTTTATTTGTAATACATTTGCAAAAATATATATATATTGTTTTGTCATTATGGGCTATTGTGTGTAGATTGAGGGGGAAAAAAACAATTTAATCAATTTTAGAATAAAGGCTGTAAAGTAACAAAATGTGGAAAAAGTGAAGGTCTGAATACTTTCCGAATGCACTGTAGATTTACTATGAAAATAAATATATTTGAAATTTCTAGGTGTATTAAAAGCTGTGATAATTATTGTGTGGCCAGATAGTGTGTGAATGGGGTGGGGAGGCAGTAGATACTAGGAGATTCTCATTGCTTATAATAGGGTCGATTAGGGTTAGGATCAGGGGTTAGAGTTGGGTCAGGCTTGTCTCTGTACTGATGCTCTATATCAAAGCCAGTGAAACTAGGGCCTAGATTCCATAAGATCAAGCATTAACCGGCGATAGCCGACACCCGCATAGCTGATATTTTGGCAGTGTCGGAGGTGTAACCACGTTGAAGCTGCCAAATTGGTGAGCAGCTGCTCTTGATCATTGTCACGAAGCCACACCCGTCCCACTCGCGTTAGAAGTTCAGAATGAGAAAGTGCAGGCTATATAGAAATAATGCTCAAATTGAAAATCATTAAACAAAATAATGAGGATTTCTATCAGCCTAATGGAAGTGTAGATTACATCTCACATTCCAGTGTTCCAACTTGTAAACAAGGCTACATGGGATTTCTCTTAATGCGACTCCGAGCAGCCAATGGCAATGTCCGCTTTAGGTATAATGCCAGGAGCCGCTTGTAGATTTGACAGCTCTAGCGCAGTTCTACCTCCGACACCGCCAAAACAACCACTATGCAGATGTCGGCTAAAGCACATCTGATTGAATAGAGCCCTAGAGGACACGACGGAACATACAGGTAGAATATGGCTACAGTGATATAGGATTAGAGTTAGGATGTGACATGGATATATGGTTAGTTCGGGTGTGATAGTTTGGTGTTGTGGGGTATTCTTCGCTAGGCAGTGCAGCGGTTCCTGTTTCCTCAGACGGATAAGGTCACTTTCTGCTAGAAAAGTTGAACGTTCTTCTTCAAATTATTTCGTTTCCATAGTGACAGACGGTCGAACTCGGCGATGGGCATTCCGAACAGACGCTCAAAGTCCTCAGGAGACAGGTGTCTCTGAGGAGAAACACAGGCTTAGTAACACATTGGCACACACACAGATACACACATACATACATTTGAGTAGTAACACACATATGACATCGTATGTACACACACACACACACACACACACCTCCAGTCTGGTACGGTCCACGCCCGGCGGCAGCTTGCAGCGCCCTCTATGGGTGACTATGAGCATTTCATATGGGTAGATCTGAGGAGAAAACAGTGCAGGCTGGGTCTTTATTTGAAATGATAGGTTTTTTTTTTTTTTTTTTTTTACATGCCTGTGTGCATGCGTGCATGGTGCGTGTTCACCAGTGCTCACCTTCTGTTCCAGCATACTTGGCAGTGAGTTTCCTCTGTCCATCCTTTCCCGCTGTGCCTCTCCGTTCTAGACACACACACACACACCGTTAGTGTAATCAAATTGCCTTGGAGGTAGATAGATATGACTTGAGCAGAGGGAAGAATGGGTATGAAAATAAGGCCGGGATTCAACCTGACTACGCTTGTAGACAACACAGATTTTTTAAAGGCAATGTTAACGCTTTCGTGGAGATCGCATGTCAAGGCTGCAGATGTCTGCTCAGTTAGATATTAACGCGGATCTAGTGCTGATCGGAATGAATCCTGGCCTAAGAACACCCTTACCTGTTCAGCTGCACAACAGGGAGAGACAAGAGAAAATAAGATAATTAAATAGTTATATTCAACATATAAAAGGCTGCAGATACAGTGCATTCGGAAAGTATTCAGACCCCTTGACTTTTTCCACATTTTGTTACGCTATAGCCTTATTCTAAAATTGATTAAATAAATAAAAATCCTCAGTAACTCATAATGACAAAGCAAAAGGTTATTATTATTATTTTTTTATTACATAAGTATTCAGACCCTTTGCTATGAGACTCGAAATTAAGTTCAGCTGCATCCTGTTTCCATTGATCATCCTTGATGTTTCTACAACTTGATTGGAGTCCACCTGTGGTAAATTCAATTGATTGGACATGATTTGGAAAAGCACACACCTGTCTACATAAGGTCCCACAGTTGACAGTGCATGTCAGAGCAAAAACCAAGCCATGAGGTCGAAGGAATTGTCCGTAGAGCTCCGAGACAGGATTGTGAAGAGGCACAGATCTGGGGAAGGGTACCAAAACATTTCTGCAGCATTGAAGGTCCCCAAGAACACAGTGGCCTCCATCATTCTTAAATGGAAGAAGTTTGGAACCACCAAGACTCTTCCTAGAGCTGGCCGCCCGGCCAAATTGAGCAACCGTGGGAGAAGGGCCTTGGTCAGGGAGGTGACCAAGAACCCAATGGTCACTCTGACAGAGCTCTAGAGTAGAACCTTCCAGAAGGACAACCATCTCTGCAGCACTCCACCAATCAGGCTTTTATGGTAGAGTGGCCAGACGGAAGCCACTCCTCAGTAAAAGGCACATGACAGCCTGCTTGGAGTTTGCCAAAAGGCACCTAAAGACTCTCAAACCATGAGAAACAAGGTTCTCTGGTCTGATGAAACCAAGATTGAACTCTTTGGCCTGAATGCCAAGCGTCACGTCTGGAGGAAACCTGGCACCATCCCTACGGTAAAGCATGGTGGTGGCAGCATCATGCTGTGAGGATGTTTTTCAGCGGCAGGGACTGGGAGACTAGTCAGGATCGAGGCAAAGATGAACGGAGCAAAGTACAGAGAGATCTTTAATGAAAACCTGCTCCAAAGCGCTCAGGATCTCAGACTGGGGCGAAGGTTCAGTCTGTAGTAAGACATGGCAGCTCTGCTTCTAGCTCCTAAGCAACTTTGCAGTATTTTGTTTTTTTGTGTGTTATTTCTTACATTATTAGCCCAGAAAGTTTTTTGTGTTATTACATACAGCCGGAAATACGTTTTGGATATCAGAGCAGCGGTAACTCACCAGCATTACGACCAGGAATACGACTTGGATCCTTTGTTCATACCCCCCAGGGCAATTGAGCTTATCCCAGAGGCTGCTCCAAGTCACCGCCGGCAGAGAAGAGGTAATCGGAGTGGACTTCTAGTCCGACTAAGGAGGCGGGCACACCATCCACCACTTCAGAGTATATTACTCGCTAATGTTCAGTCTCTGGACAATAAAGTAGACGAGCTCAGGGCGAGGATCTCGTTCCAGAGAATACAGGGACTGTAACATACTCTGTTTCACGGAATCATGGCTCTCTCGGGATATACTGTCTCCGTCCACACAGCCAGCTAGGTTCTCAGTTCATCGCGCAGACAGGAATAAAGAACTCTCCGGGAAGAAGAAAGGCGGGTACACCCCGTATGCTTCATGATTAACTACTCATGGTGTGATTGTGATAACATACAGAAACTCAAGTATTTTTGTCCACCCGACCTAGAATACCTCACAATCAAATGCCGACCGTATTACCTCCCAAGATAATTCTCTTTGGTTATAGTCACAGACGTGTATATTACCCCTCCAGCCGATACCACGACGGCCCTCAAGGAACTACAATGGACTTTATGCAAACTGGAAACCACATATCCTGAGGCCACATTTATTGTAGCTGGGGATTTTAACAAAGCAAATTTGAGGAAAATGCTACCGAAGTTTTATCAACACATTGACTGTAGTACTCGCTTAGGGAAAACACTAGATCACTGCTACTTGCCTTTTTGAGATGCCTACAAGGCCCTCCCCCGCCCTCCCTTCGGCAAATCAGATCACGACTCCCTAGCCACGTCCTCAGAGCATGCGCAGACCAGCTGGCTGGAGTGTTTACGGACATATTCAATCTCTCCCTATCCTAGTCTGCTGTCCCCACTTGCTTCAAGATGTCCACCATTGTTCCTGTACCCAAGAAAGCAAAGGTAACTGAACTAAATGACTATTGCCACGTAGCACTCACTTCTGTCATCATTAAGTGCTTGGAGAGGCTAGTTAAGGATCATATCACCTCCACCTTACCGGACACCCTAGACCCACTTCAAAGTTGCTTACTGCCCCAATAGATCCACAGCCGATGCAATCACCATCGCACTGTACACTGCCCTATCCCACCTGGACAAGAGGAATACCTACGTCAGAATGCTGTTCATTGACTATAGCTCAGCCTTCAACACCATAATACCCTCCAAGCTCATCATTAAGCTCTGGGCCCTGGGTCTGAACCCTGCCCTGTGCAACTGGGTCCTGGACTTCCTGACGGGCCGCCCCCAGGTGGTGAAGCTAGGAAACAACACCTCCACTTCGCTGATCCTCAACACAGGGGCCCCACAAGGGTGCGTGCTCAGCCCCCTCCTGTACTCCCTGTTCACCCATGACTGCGTGGCCACGCACGCGTCCAACTCAATCATCAAGTTTGCAGACGACACAACAGTAGTAGGCCTGATTACCAACAATGATGAGACAGCCTACAGGGCGGAGGTGAGGTCCCTGGCAGAGTGAGGCCAGGAAAATAACCTCTCTCTCAACATCAACAAAACAAAGGAGCTGATTGTGGACTTCAGGAAACAGCAGAGGGAGCACGCCCCTATCCACATCGACGGGACCGCAGTGGAGAAGGTGGAAAGCTTCAAGTTCCTCTGCGTACACATCACTGACAATCTGAAATGGTCCACCCACACAGACAGTGTGGTGAAGAAGGCGCAACAGAGCCTCTTCAACCTCAGGAGGCTGAAGAAATTTGGCTTGGCCCCTAAGACCCACAGAAACTTTTACAGATGCACAATTGAGAGCATCCTGTCGGGCTGTATCACCGCCTGGTACGGCAACTGCACCGCCCGCAACCGCAGGGCTCTCCAGAGGGTGGTACGGTCTGCCCAACGCATCACCAGGGGCACACTGCCTACCCTCCAGGACACCTACAGCACCCGATGTCACAGGAAGGCCAAAATGATCATCAAGGACATCAACCACCCGAGCCAAGGCCTGTTCACCCTGCTATCATCCAGAATGTGAGGTCAGTACAGGTGCATCAAAGCTGGGACCGAGAGACTGAAAAACAGCTTCTATCTCAAGACCATCAGACTGTTAAATAGCCATCACTAGCCAGCTACCACCCGGCTACTCAACCCTGCGCCTTAGAGGCTGCTGGCCTATATATATATATATATATATATATATATATATATATATATATATATATATATATATAGACATGGAATCACTGGCCACTTTAATAATGTAATACTAGTCACTTTAATAATGTTTACATACTGCTTTACTCAACTCATATGTATATACTGTATTCTATTCTACTGTATTTAGTCAATGCCACTCCGACATTGCTCGTCCTAATATTTACTCTGCTCAAAAAATAAAGGGAACACTAAAATAACACATCCTAGATCTGAATGAATGAAATAATCTTATTAAACACTTTTTTCTTTACATAGTTGAATGTGCTGACAACAAAATCACACAAAAATTATCAATGGAAATCAAATGTATCAACCCATGGAGGTCTGGATTTGGAGTCACCCTCAAAATTAAAGTGGAAAACCACACTACAGGCTGATCCAACTTTGATGTAATGTCCTTAAAACAAGTCAAAATGAGGCTCAGTAGTGTGTGTGGCCTCCACGTGCCTGTATGACCTCCCTACAACGCCTGGGCATGCTTCTGATGAGGTGGCAGATGGTCTCCTGAGGGATCTCCTCCCAGACCTGGACTAAAGCATCCGCCAACTCCTGGACAGTCTGTGGTGCAACGTGGCGTTGGTGGATGGAGCGAGACATGATGTCTCAGATGTGCTCAATTGGATTCAGGTCTGGGGAACGGGCGGGCCAGTCCATAGCATCAATGCCTTCCTCTTGCAGAAACTGCTGACACACTCCAGCCACATGAGGTCTAGCATTGTCTTGCATTAGGAGGAACCCAGGGCCAACCGCACCAGCATATGGTCTCACAAGGGGTCTGAGGATCTCATCTCGGTACCTAATGGCAGTCAGGCTACCTCTGGCGAGCACATGGAGGGCTGTGCGGCCCCCCAAAGAAATGCCACCCCACACCATGACTGACCCACCGCCAAACCGGTCATGCTGGAGGATGTTGCAGGCAGCAGAACGTTCTCCACAGCGTCTCCAGACTCTGTCACGTCTGTCACATGTGCTCAGGGTGAACCTGCTTTCATCTGTGAAGAGCACAGGGCGCCAGTGGCGAATTTGCCAATCTTGGTGTTCTCTGGCAAATGCCAAACGTCCTGCACGGTGTTGGGCTGTAAGCACAACCCCCACCTGTGGACGTCGGGCCCTCATACCACCCTCATGGAGTCTGTTTCTGACCGTTTGAGCAGACACATGCACATTTGTGGCCTGCTGGAGGTCATTTTGCAGGGCTCTGGCAGTGCTCCTCCTGCTCCTCCTTGCACAAAGGCGGAGGTAGCAGTCCTGCTGCTGGGTTGTTGCCCTCCTACGGCCTCCTCCACGTCTCCTGATGTACTGGCCTGTCTCCTGGTAGCGCCTCCATGCTCTGGACACTACGCTGACAGACACAGCAAACCTTCTTGCCACAGCTCGCATTGATGTGCCATCCTGGATGAGCTGCACTACCTGAGCCACTTGTGTGGGTTGTAGACTAAACGTCTCATGTTACCACTAGAGTGAAAGCACCGCCAGCATTCAAAAGTGACCAAAACATCAGCCAGGAAGCATAGGAACTGAGAAGTGGTCTGTGGTCACGACCTGCAAAACCAGTCCTTTATTGGGGGTGTCTTGCTAATTGCCTATAATTTCCACCTGTTGTCAATTCCATTTGCACAACAGCATGTGAAATGTATTGTCAATCAATGTTGCTTCCTAAGTGGACAGTTTGATTTCACAGAAGTGTGATTGACTTGGAGTTACATTGTGTTGTTTAAGTGTTCCCTTTATTTTTTTGAGCAGTGTATATTTCCATTCCATTCTTTTAGATTTGTGTATTGTTAGATACTACTGCACTGTTGGAGCTAGGAGCACAAGCATTTTACTAAATCCGCAATAACATCTGCTAAATATTTGTATGTGACCAATACAATTTGATTTGATTTGAGGTTTACCTCCCAACAGGACAACGACCCAAAGCAGACAGCCAAGACAACGCAAGAGTGGCTACGGGACAAGTCTCTGAATGTCCTTGAGTGGCCCAGCCAGAGCCTGGACTTGAACCCGATGGAACATCTCTGGAGAACTGAAAATAGATGTGCAGCAACGCTCCCCATCCAACCTGACAGAGCTTGAGCGGATGTGCAGAGAAGAATGGGAGGAACTACCCAAATACAGGTGTGCCAAGCTTATAGTGTCATACCCAAGAAGACTCGAGGCTGTAATCGCTGCCAAAGTTGCTTCAACAAAGTACTGAGTAAAGGGTCTGAATACTTACGTAAATGTGATATTTCAGTTTTATATTTTAAATAAATTAGCAAACATTTCTAAAAACCTGTTTTTGCTTTGGATTAAATATATTTTTTTCACCCATCTACACACAACACCCCATAACGACAAAGTGTAATACAATGTTTAGAATCTTTTGCAAATTCTGTGAGTCAATCAATACATGTTAGAATAACCTTTGGCAGCAATTACAGCTCTGAGTCTTTCTGGGTAAGTCTCTAAGAGCTTTGCACACCTGGATTGTACAATATTTGCACATTATGATTTATAAAATTCTTCATGCTCTGTCAAGTTGGTTGTTGATCTTTGCTAGACAGCCATTTTCAAGTTTCAAGTCTTGCCATAGATTTCCAAGCTGATTTAAGTGAAAACTGTAACTAGGCCACTCAGGAACATTCAATGTCGTCTTGGTAAGTAACTCCAGTGTACACTGGTATCAAAGGACCTAACGTGTGACAGGAAAACATTCCCCACACCATTACACTAGACAGGATGGAGCTATGGATTCATGCTGCTTACGCCAAATTCTGACTCTGCCATCAGCAACAGGAACCAGGATTCGTCGGACCACGCAATGTTTTTCCACTCCTCAATTGTCCAGTTTTGGTGATTGTGTGCCCACTGGAGCCGCTTCTTCTTGTTTTTAGCTGATAGGAGTGGAACCCAGTGTGGTCGTCTGCTGCAATAGCCCATCCGTGACAAGGACCGACGAGTTGTGCATTCCGAGATGCTGTTCTGCACACCATTGTTGTACTGCACCGTTGTTTGCCTGGGTGTATATGTTTTAGGTTATTGTCCTGCTGAAAGGTGAATTTGTCTCCCAGTGTCTGTTGGAAAGAAGACTGAGACATGTTTTCCTCTAGGATTATGCCTTTGCTTGGCTCCATTCCGTTTCTTTTTATCATAAAAAACTCCCTAGTCCTTGCCGATGACAAGCATACCCATAACATGATGCAGCCACAACCATGCTTGAAAATATGAAGAGTGGTACTCAGTGATGTGCTGTGTTGGATTTGCCCCAAACATAACGCTTTGTATTCATGACATTGCCTTTTTTTTTTGCTGTTTTACTTTAGTGCCTTATTGCAAAAAGGATACATGTTTTGGAATATTTGTATTCTGTACAAGCTTCCTTCTTTTCACTCTGTCATTTAGGTTAGTATTATGGAGTAACAACAATGTTATTGATCCATCCTCAGTTTTCTCCTATCACAGCCATTAAACTCTGTAACTGTTTTACATTTACATTTTAGTCATTTAGCAGACGCTCTTATCCAGAGCGACTTACAGTTAGTGAATACATATTTTTTTTATACTGGCCCCCCGTGGGAATCGAACCCACAACCCTGGCGTTGCAAACGCCATGCTCTATCAACTGAGCTACATCCCTGCCGGCCATTCCCTCCCCTACCCTGGACGACGCTGGGCCAATGTGCGCCGCCCATGAGTCTCCCGGTCGCGGCCGGCTGCGACAGAGCCTGGATTCGAACCAGGATCTCTAGTGGCACAGTTAGCACTGCGATGCAGTGCCTTAGACCACTGCGCCACTCAGGAGACCTAACCTGCTACGAAAAAGTCACTTCGGTTTCGAAGTGGCGTGAAAAGAGTGTTTCCCCAAGCTAGCTAGCTTCATGAGAAATAATCAGATTTATCATTTTAAAATATGCCTTGGCAAATGTACTTATACTTGCCAGTGTAACCTAAAACATTCTCCCAGTTTGATATGCTGCTTGTGTATTCATTCTGATATCAGCAAAAAATAGAAAGACATGTTTTGGTCACAGAGAAAAAAGCATATGGCTAGCTAGTTGGCTACAGCAGGTTTTAAAGTCACCATTGGCCTCATGGTGAAATCTCTGAGCGGTTTCCTTCCTCTCAGGATGCATGTATCTTTGTAATGACTGGGTGTATTGATACACCATCCAAAGTGGAATTAATAACTTCACCATGCTCAAAGGTATATTCAATGTCTGCTTCTTTTATTTTTACCCATCTACCAATAGGTGCTCTTCTTTGCGAGGCATTGGAAAACCTCCCTGGTCTTTGTGGTTTAATCTTTGTTTGAAATTCACTGCTTGACTGAGGGTCCTTACAGATAATTGTATGTGTGGGGTACAGAGATGAGGTAGACATTATGGGGTATTGTGTGTAGGCCAGTGACACAAAATCGTAATTTAAACCGTTATAAATTCATACCGTCACACAACAAAATGCGGAAAAAGTCAAGGAGTGTGAAAACTTTTTGAAGGCACCGTATATGTTGGCAAAACTGATTGTGTGGGTCCTACTTCACTACTACAACTGTTTTTGTAATACATGATGCCTGTAACCTACCTGTTTTGCCCTGCTCTCCCTCTGTAGTGAACTCTGCTGACTGCATCTGCACAGAGGTAACACATATAAATCATCACGCGCACCCACACACACACACTTAATGCAACACATGCAAACACACATACTGTACACTCACCCTGGCTAGACCTGAGCGGGAGGACGACTTCAAGGAGAAACCTGTAGACATCAGAGCAACCAATCAGAATCAGGTTCTAACACACACACACACACACACACACTGGACTGTTACTTACTGGTGTGCATGTGTGTTCTGTCTGGCAGTGACTGAGTCTTCCTGCGGCCAATGCCAAGTAGAGCCTTCTCCTTCTCCTCCTTCAGGATCAGCCTGCCCAGGTTAGACTTGATCTGGCACACATGCCCCACACACACACCCACACACGCACCCATGTGCATACAGACACATACACACCATCAATCGATAAATATTGATTAGTGAAGACGGTAACACTTCCTATGATAATATACTTTATATACTGAATAAGCATTATAAAAGCACTTATAGAATACATTATGAAGAAGGTATCCATGGCAAGAGTTACCTTGTGGAGCTCCAGCTCCTGCAGTGTCTTGGAGTCATCAGTCAGGTTTTCAAACTCATCTTTCCCATCTTCATCTTCCTCTTTCCTCTTCCTCCACTCGATCTCTATGGCAACAACAGGAGAGATCAGACCACACACTACCAGTACCTATCCAATCACCTGTGTGTGTGTGTGTGTGTGTGTGTGTGAGTTTGGTTTAACTATCCTTGTGGGGACCAGAAGTCAGAAGGATGGTAAAACAAGGACATTTCGGACAAGTGGGGACATTTTGCCGGACCCCACAAGAAAAAAGGCTATTTGAGGCTTAACGCTACTACAAGCTTCACTCCATTCAGCTACGTGCGTGTGGGTGGAGTGGGATTTTTGGAGAAGCAGACACCTTTTGGTAACATGATATCCTCACCGGTCCCACTCCCATTCAGAAGGAGGTGATAGGAAAGTTTTTTCTTTTTCTCATTTCATTTTGTGGAGTCGCCTTCCCTTGCTAGTAGTAGCTAGCTGGTAGCCTGGCTAAAAACATAGCAAGCTAGCTGGGATACACTCTTTTCACGCCACTTCGATACAAAGTGATTTTCGTAGCAGGTTAGGAGAGCATTTTTGTTTACCCTAACCCTTTTCCTAACCTTAACCTCAGTCTCCTAACCTGCTACGTTAATTCTCCTAACCTGCTACGTTAATTATCCTAACCTGCTACGTTAATTGTCCTAACCTGCTGCGTAAGTTCTCCTAACCTGCTACGAAAAAGTCACTTCGGTTTCGAAGTGGCGTGAAAAGAGTGTTTCCCCAAGCTAGCTAGCTTCATGAGAAATAATCAGATTTATCATTTTAAAATATGCCTTGGCAAATGTACTTATACTTGCCAGTGTAACCTAAAACATTCTCCCAGTTTGATATGCTGCTTGTGTATTCATTCTGATATCAGCAAAAAATAGAAAGACATGTTTTGGTCACAGAGAAAAAAGCATATGGCTAGCTAGTTGGCTACAGCAGGTTATACCATTTCACAATAGCCTGGAATCACTAGTTATTACTTCTTAACAAAATACATTTTTGGGTGGATTCTTATTGTTTGGTTTACTGTTTCAACAGTCGGTGAGATTACTACTACACTGATGAATAGCCTATGAATACTATTTTGATGAATAGCCTATATAGCCTATAGATCAGATCAAGGAACCAAGCGACAACACTGCCCCCATGGCTGCGGAAGGAATGATAGGGCGTGTCTCAATTTTCAGGTAGTACAAAAGTAAGTTGAATGCAGGAGCGTATTCCAAGAAGCCGGCCCATTTGTGACTAAAAACGACATTGCAACACTGCGCTACACTCCATACCTTCCTTCTTATTAGTGTGTGAATTTACCTTTGGAGGTTTAGGGTTAGAATTAGGGTTAGGTTTCGGGTTGGGAGTTTGGGGTTAGGGTAAGGGTTAAGGCTAGGGTTAGGTATAGGTTAAGGGAAAATAGGATTTTGAATGGGAATCAATTGTTTGGTCCCCACAAGGATAGTAAAACAAACGTGTATGTGTGTGTGTGTGCGTGAGTGTCCGTGTATCTTACCCATGGCAGCCAGTGAGGGAGGACAGGGCCAGTACTCGGTCTCTATCTTTGAGGGCAGGTTGGGGTCTGGTTTCTGAGCTGCTGGGAACTTAGATGACTGGATGATGCTGCCCATCACCTTCTGCTTGCTGACCTCTACAGACAGGGAGATAATTATACACACACATACATGTACACACACACCCTTACACACATCACACACTCTTATGCACACACACACACACACAGACACACACACACACAAACAGACATACACGCTTACACACATCTCACACCCAAACAAATATACTGTTCAGTACCCTGTTTAAAATTAGGCAGCTTCTTGTAGATGTTGGCACCATTATCTGAAATAAAACACAGAATTAGAAAAGTATGTGTGTGCGTGTGCGTGTGTACCCATACATAAAAATGTATGCACGCATGACTGTAAGTCGCTTTGGATAAAAGCGTCTGCTAAATGGCATATTATATTATTATATTACCTGGCCTGTGGAAGTGCTGCTGTATGGGGATGGCTGTCTTTCGGAGCTGCAGTGTGGAGCCTCCTGGAGACCCTCCATCCTCCCTACACTCCTTCAGCTGAGAGAGAGAATAGAGAGAGGAGAGATAAATATATGGAGAGAAAGGGAGAGAGAGAGAGTTAGTACTGCTGGGTAACTGGATGAAGAGAAACTCCTACCCAACGCAACACAGAGAAATAAAGGGAGGAGAGAGGGGGAGAGAAGAAGGGGAGATAAGGAAAGGAGAGAGGGCCTGCAGAAGTGTCTTACCTCAGGAGAGGGAGGAGGAGAGATGGAGGGAGGAGAGAGGGATCTCTGGAGAAGGAAGAGGAGAACAGTCACATCACACTTCTCCCTTCCTATACAGCCTTTACGAGTTACTTACTGTAACATGAATTGTGTGTGTACCTCTCTACAGGGCGTACGCACTGCATCTAGTGCTGAGTAGGTGAAGTGAGGTTGGTAGGTCATGAGATCTGGTCTCTCCACCTGCAGAATAGCACAGTCAGTGGTGAATCACAAACACGCATGCTCCACACACACACACACAACCCCCACAGAAACCACACACACACACACACACCAACCTCACCTGAAGAATACTTTTGTCTCTGGGCAGAGCAGCCAGATCCCTGTACTCCACCACCTCATCATTCACACGGGCCTGGAGGGATAGAGAGAAAGAGCATGTTGGTGTAGTGTGCGTGTATATGTGTGTGTGTCATTGGAGGTTGGTGGTAATGGCTGGAGCGGAATCAGTGGAATGGTATCAAATACGTCAAACACATGGTTTCCATGGTTTCCATGTGTTTGATGCCATTCTATTCGCTCATTTCCACACATTATTGTGAGCCGTCCTCCCCTCAGCAGCCTCCACTGGTGTGTGTGTGTGTGTGTGTGTATTTTACCTTGATGCTGGGTGAGCCAGGAGCACTTGGACCCCGCAAGGAGGAGGATATTCTGCCCGGGGCTGGCCGTCCCTCCACCTACACACACACATCATAGTCACACCTAACCCTAACCCCTCCCTCCATATACACAGAGGAAGACGTACAGTGCCTTCTGAAAGTATTCATATCCCTTGACTTATTCCACATTTTGTTGTGTTACAGCCTGAATTCAAATTGATTTAAAAAAAATAATAATCTCACCCATCTACACACAATACCCCATTATGACAAAGTGTACTAAATGGTTTTAGACATAATTCCACTTTGACATTATGGGGTATTGTGTGTAGGCCAGTGACACAAAATCTAAATTTAATCAATTTTAAATTCAGGCTGTAACACAACAAAATGTGGAATAAGTCAAGGGGTGTGAATACTTTCTGAAGGAACTGTATGTGTGTGTTTGTGTGTGTGTTACCTTCTGCATGATGGTGAAAATCCTTCCTTTGGCTTAAACCAGATGGCTTTGAGAGAGGCAGGGAGGAGGAAGAACAACTCAGACGTAGAACAGTGATGTAGATAAGGAACAAGGTTCATAAAGCCCATCTTTCTGATGGAGGATATTGTTGCCACTGTAAACTGTGTCCATATGCTCCTCACAACATCAATCACACTAACCAACTCACACTAACCACGTTTCCATCCACAGTTTTTATGTTATTAAAGTCACACAAAAAAAAATCACAAAAAAAAAAATCAGGACAGCTATGGAAACAGGAAGTTTCGGTACAATTTTATAAACGCCAACAGATAATTTGTTCGTTCAACATGGTGGGATCTTTTTGTGTCGGTAAAATTAATTATGCGAGAAATGGCAGTGGAAACACCTTTAAGTGCAAATATTGATATAAAAACCATCATATCGAAGTAAACTTGGAGTTACGCAATGATATGGTGTGTGGTCCTCCCACTGCAACTCGGGAAATCATGCAGTTTATTAGGCTACAGATGAAGTCAGTTATGATGAACTTCACAGGGTGGTGAAAGTGCACGGTGATGAGCTTGATGCTCCATTCCAATAAATATCAAAGGTCTTATTCTGGTGACATGATCATCGATGCTTGACTGCCGGTTGACAAATAAAAATATTCTTGCTCTTATCCATAATAATCTAATTATGTTGACCACCCTACCCGCACTGTAACTGCAAGCTGTTGGCAAGAGCGCACGTGCCAAGACCAGAGTAGGCACATTTGCTATTTAACTCAACAGTTTTTGTGACAAAACTATCCGTAGAGTTGAAAATGTGATGGAAACACATTGAACTTTAGATTTTTATTCAGTACAGGAAAACTTAAGTGAAAAAGTAATCATGCACTGATTTTTATTTGCAACAAGTCAGTTTGGTGGAAACACCACTGGTGGGAAAATGCTTATATTTTCTTTGTGTAGATTTTAAAATATTTTCATGAAAATCTGTCACCAATTGGATGGAAACCTAGCTAGTGTCACACACACAGCACAAAACCACTGCCTTCAACAGTGTCACACACTGTACGTGGTGTGTGACACACACATACAGACAAGTGCATGGAACTCCCTTCCATCTTATATAGCGCAAGTGAACAGCAAACCTGGTTTCAAAAAACGTATAAAGCAACACGTCACGGCACAACGCCTCTCCCCCATGTGACCTACCTGTTGTGTGTATGTACTAACATGTATGTGTAACTGATATATGCACACACACACACACACACACACACTACATGTTCATGTTTTCAAATGTATGTAAATGGTAAAGTATTTTGTTTGTAATGTCTTTTTCGTTATGTGTCAGATCCCAGTAAGACTAGCTGTCGCCATTGGCGTCGGCTAATGGGGATCCTAATAAATAAAATAAAATAAAAACACACACCCTCTGTCTGTATGTGATGAAAACAAAGGTCATCTTTAAACCAATGAGAAAGTCAGACTATATGATAGTCTTCACATGGGTGTTAAATAAGAGAGAGGAAGAGAGATCCCTCCCCCCCCTTCCCTCTCCTCTCCCTCTCTTCTCCCTTTCCTCCTTCCTCCTCCTTCCTTCATCTCTCTTCTCCTCCCCTCCTCCCTCCCCCTCTCCTCTCCCTCTCCTCCTCCTCTCCTCTCTCTCTTCTCCCTCTCCCTCTTCCTCCCCTCCTCTCCCCTCTCTTCCCCCTCCCATCTCCCTCTCCCTCCTCCCTTCTCCTCCCTTCCTCCTCCCTCTCTCCCTCTCCCTCTCTTCCTCCTCCCTCTCTCCCTTCTCCCTCTCTCCCTCCTCCCTTCCTCCTTCTCATTCCTCCTCCTTCTCCTCCTCCCCTCCTCTTCCTTCTCCTTCTTCCCCTTCTCCCTCCTCCCTCTCTTCCTTCTCCTTCCTCCCCTTCTCCTCCTCCTTCTCCCTCTCCTCTCCTCCTCCCTCCTTCCTCCCCTCTCTTTCCTCCCCTTCTCCCTCCTCCCTCTCTTCTTCTCCTCTCCCCTTCTCCCTCCTCCCTCCCCTCTCCTCTCTCCCTTCTCCTCCTCTCCCTCTCCTCCCTTCTTCCCTCTCCTTCTCCCTCCTCCTCTCCCTCCCCCTCTCTCTCCTCTCTCTTCCTCTCCCTCTCTTTTCCTTCTCCCTCCTCCCATCTCTTCCTTCTTTCCCTCCTCCCTTCTCCTTTTCCCTCCTCCCTCTCTTACTTTCCTCCTCCCTCTCTTTTTCCACCTCCCTCTTCCCACCCCTCCTCCCTCTTTTTCCTCCCCCTCCCTCCTTTTCCTCCCCCCTCCCTCTCTCTCCCCGGCTAGGTTGATTCTCCCCACCTTCTCCCTAAAGTACAGATTTCGTACACCAGTCCATTCCTTAATGATTCAATAGCCCTCCCAGGCGCCCACCTCCCTCCCCTCCTCCCCCTCTATTTTTCTCTCTAACTGAACTGTTTATCAGTCCAGCCAGTCAGGCTGACGCCCAGCCAGCCATCACCATGGTTACACTCCCCCCACTAGGGAACATCACTTTGGAGAGGCCTCCTCTCTTTCGCTTTCTCTCCCTCTCCCTATTTGCTCAGTACATTGTTTTCACTGAGGAAATGTACGAGTCTGCTGTTAATGATAATGCAGAGGATTTTCCCAAGGTTACTGTTGACACATATCCCACGGTAGTTATTGGGGTCTCTCTCTCTCTCTTTCTCTCTCCCTCTTTTGCACCCAGTCCCTCCTTCCACCTTTCTAAGACACACACATTTATTAAATGTACATTATCCAGAGCGACTAACAATTGTGCATTCACCTTAAGATAGCTAGACATACACACACACACACACACCACATTGGTACAGTGTGTAACCAGCAGTGTGTGGCAGCTCTGAGCTCTCTGCCAGCTGTGCGAGTAGATTCAAATTGATCTCCTGGGATCTAGCCTGGGATCTGTTTCTCTGAGAGTAGTTCCTGGGTTAGGAGATCTATCGGGAGCAGACAGGCCACAGACACTACAGTAAAATATAGATCTAGTCTAGTGGGTAATAGAAGGCAAATAGCTTCACCTTGCCATTTTATATGCAAGTGGGATTGTTTTTGCAACATTGCTTATACCTATTCAATCTGTTCAAATTGTATTTGTCACATGCACAAGTACTGTGAAATGTTTAGCTAGCAAACTCTTACCTAACAGTGCAGTATTCAATATCAACAAATTATAACTAATAAGAAAATAAAAATTTTAAAACACGAGAAATAAGAAAGGAAGCTACATACAGGGTAAATGTACAATGTGCAGGGATACTGGAGTATTTGAGGTAGATATGTGCATGTAGGCTGGGATTAGGAGAAAGTGACCGGTACCAGGATAAATAATAATAATAATAATAATAATAATAATAGTAAACAGTATGGCAGCATCTTAAGTGGTGGGTGGGTGTGTATGGTAGTGAGTGTGTGTATGTAAGTGTAAGTGTGTGGGTGTGTGTGTGTAAGAGTTTCAGTGTAGGCGTGATAGGTGGATATACACTTCCAGTCAAAAGTTTGGACACACCTACTCATTCAAGGGTTTTTCTTTATTTTAACAATTTTTACATTGTAGAATAATAGTGAAGACATCAACACTATGAAATAACACATATGGAATCATGTAGTAACCAAAAAAGTGTTAAATAAATCAAAATATATTTTATATTTGAGATTCAAATAGCCACCCTTTGCCTTGATGACAGCTTTGCACACTCATGGCATTCTGTTAACCAGCTTCATGAGGTAGTCACCTGGAATGCATTTCAATTAACAGGTGTCCCTTCTTAGAAGTTAATTTGTGGAATTGATTTCCTTCTTAATGTGTTTGAGCCAATCAGTTGTGTTGTGACAGGTAGCTTAGTGGGTAAGAGCGTTGTGCCAGTAACCGAAAGGTCGCTGGTTCTAATCCCCGAGCCGACTAGGTGAAAAATCTGTCGATGTGCCCTTGAGCAAGGCACTTAACCCTAATTGCTCCTGTAAGTCGCTCTGGATAAGAGCGTCTGCTAAATGACTAAAATGTAAATGTAAATGTTGTGACAAGGTAGGGGTGGTATACCTATTTGGTAAAAGACCAAGTCCATATTATGGCAAGAACAGCTCAAATAAGCAAAGAGAAACAACAGTCCATCATTACTTTAAGACATGAAGGTCAGTCAATACAGAACATTTCAAGAACTTTGAACGTTTCTTCAAATGCAGTCGCAAAAACCATCAAACGCTAAGATGAAGCTGGCTCTCATGAGGACCGCCACAGGAATGGAAGACCCAGAGTTACCTCTGCTGCAGAGGATAAATTCATTAGAGTTACCAGCCTCAGAAATTACAGCCCAAATAAATGCTTCACAGTTCAAGTAACAGACACATCTCAACATCAACAGTTCAGAGAGGACTGTGTGAATCAGGCCTTCCTGGTGGAATTGCTGCAAAGAAACCACTACTAAAAGGACACCAATAAGAAGAAGAGACCTGCTTGGGCCAAGAAACACGAGCAATGGACATTAGACCAGTGGAAATTTGTCCTTTGGTCTGGAGTCCAAATTGGAGATTTGTGGTTCAAACCGCCATGTCTTTGTGAGACGCGTGTGGGTGAACGGATGATCTCTGCATGTGTAGTTCCCACCATAAAGCATGAAGGAGGAGGTGTTATGGTGTGGGGGTGCTTTGCTGGTGACACTGTCTGTGATTTATTTAGAATTCAAGGCACACTTAACCAGCATGGCTACCACAGCATTCTGCAGTGACACGCCATCCCATCTGGTTTGGACTTAGTGGGACTATCATTTGTTTTTCAACAGGACAATGACCCAACACACTTCCAGGCTGTGTAAGGGCTATTTTACCAAGGAGAGTGATGGAGTGCTGCATCAGATGACCTGGTCTCCACAATCCCCCGACCTCAACCCAATTGAGATTGTTTGGGATTAGTCGGACGGCAGAGTGAAGGAAAAGCAGCCAACAAGTGCTCAGCATATGTGGGAACTCCTTCAAGACTGTTGGAAAAGCATTCCAGGTGAAGCTGGTTGAGAGAATGCCAAGAGTGTGCAAAGCTGTCATCAAGGCAAAGGGTGGCTATTTGAAGAATCTCAAATATAAAATATATTTTGATTTGTTTAACACTTTTTTGGTTACTACATGATTCCATATGTGTTATTTCATAGTTTTGATATCTTCACTATTATTCTACAATGTAAAACATAGTAAAAATAAAGAAAAACCCTTGAATGAGTAGGTGTCCAAACTTTTGACTGGTACTGTACATGTAAACAAGGCTGAAAAGTGATTGGTAGCAGGAATATATAAATACTTATAGTAATATACTAATGATAATATATACATGTAAAAGGGAGTAATACTGACCAGTATCAGGATAAAGATAGATACTAATGGTAATGTTAATCAATAATTAATGAACAGCAGCGTAGTGGTAATAATAAATCTAATCAATAATCATTTTAGCAGCAGCGTAGGTGTGAGGGGGAGCAGTAGTTATTAGCCATTTAACAGATTTACATAATGTAAGTGCCTATGGGTTAGGGGTTAAGGGTTGTTTGTCGACCGTGCCCTAGTCACGGACTCAAGTCCCCAACTTTGCTCACAGAGGAATTTCCTTTAAAATAGCATCATTTCATGCACTGCCACCAAAACAACTCTCTCTCTCTCAATTCAAATAAATTCAAAGGGCTTTATTGGCATGGGAAACATATGTTTACATTGCCAAAGCAAGTGAAATAGATAAACAAAAGTTAAATAAACAATAAAAAATGTACAGTAAACATTACACTTACAAAAGTTTCAAAGGAATAGAGACATTTCAAATGTCATATTATGTCTACAGTGGCTTGCGAAAGTATTCACCCCCCTTGGCATTTTTCTTATTTTGTTGCCTTATAACCTGGAATTAAAATTGATTTCTTGGGGGTTTGTATCATTTGATTTACACAACATGCCTACCACTTTGAAGATGCAAAATATTTTTTATTGTGAAACAAACAAGAAATAAGACAAAAAAAAATGAAAACTGGAGCGTGCATAACTATTCACCCCCCCACAGTCAATACTTTGTAGAGCCACCTTTTGCAGCAATTACAGCTGCAAGTCTCTTGGGGTATGTCTCTATAAGCTTGGCACATCTAGCCACTGGGATTTTTGCCCATTCTTCAAGGCAAAACTGCTCCAGCTCCTTCAAGTTGGATGGATTCCACTGGTGTACAGTAATCTTTAAGTCATACCACAGATTCTTAATTGGATTGAGGTCTGGGCTTTGACTAGGACATTCCAAGACATTTAAATGTTTCCCCTTAAACCACTCGAGTGTTGCTTTAGCAGTATGCTTAGGGTTATTGTCCTGCTGGAAGGTGAACCTCCATCCCAGTCTCAAATCTCCCTCAAGAATTTCCCTGTATTTCGCACCATCCATCATTCCTTAAATTCTGACCAGTTTCCCAGTCCCTGCCGATTAAAAACATCCCCACAGCATGATGCTGCCACCACCATGCTTCACTGTGTTCTCGGGGTGATGAGAGGTGTTGGGTTTGCGCCAGACATTGTGTTTTCCTTGATGGCCAAAAAGCTCAATTTTAGTCTCATCTGATCAGAGTACCTTCTTCCATATGTTTGGGGAGTCTCCCACATGCCTTTTGGCAAATACAAAACGTGTTTGCTTATTTTTTTCTTTAAGCAATGGCTTTTTTCTGGCCACTCTTCCGTAAA